GTCTTCAAGCAGTCTGATGACCTCGTTAGTATCCTCGGTGTCATCATCAATGACGTCTTCAACTTCTCACGAGTGTCTCGTAGTGCACGCTTGGATTGACGGAGTTGGCTTCTTGCCGTACGGAGTTCGTCGAAAGGTGTCGCCATGTTAGATCCTAATTGGGTAACACAAAAGCCCAACTGAGATCTTGAGCCAGATGGCTACGGTATATATACGGGACAAATCATGCAAATCATCGCAACACTTTGACTTCAGTATCATCAACTCGGATAGTTTCACAGCCAGCCGTTTCGGAGCCGTCCCATAAGATATCTAGGGCGCCAGACCTGCGCACGCCACAAACTCGGCCTGAGGACCAGTAACGACGGGGACGACGGAGGCCGGCAGATATACCAGTGGCAACAGAGATACGCATCCCGACACGAGAGGGAAGTGGTTCTTCTATGAGACAATCTTCGGTCTCATCAAACAATCAATAATCAATAATTCATAATAACAATAATAATCGTTACTGTTTTCAATACTCACTATATCATCATCATTATGGTATTGTGTTATTACTATAACTATTATTATCCTTCATTATCTGCATCCTTCAGTCTACCCATGTCATCATCATCATCATCGACCACCCAAGGAATAGGTCTAAAGAAGGTGGTAACCTTTGCTGATCATATACCATCTTGCCGTTGTATTATATGTAATAATGAGGATGCCCGATATCGATGCCCTCGATGTCATCAACGGTAGTGGTAGTAGTACTAATGATTATGATCATGTTGTTGTTGTTAGATACTGCAGTGTTGCATGTTATAAAGAGCATAGTAATGGTAGATGCACACAGGGGTTCTATCATGATGAAGTTATGTCATATACTCAAGTTAATAAACCAACTGAGGAGGAGAAGAGGAATGTTGAGATGATGATGTAAGATGTGAAGTAGGATGGTAGGATTATCTATCATGTTCAGATATGATAATAACAACAACTCTGATGATATATCCTCCACCACCTCCTCCTATGATGATGATGATGATGATGATGATGATGATGATGATGAGGTATTGAATCTATATCGTTTATTGGATGCCCTAGATGATGATGATGGACACCAGAAGGAGAAGGATATGATACTTGCACATCTTGGTGATTATCTATCACAAGATCAAATCAATGATTTCAGAAGTGAACTTAAATCCGGCAAGCTGTAATAATACCATCATTATCATCATACCCCTTTTTATACGTGTATAGATACCATCAATTCCTCAATAAGAACACTGATGATGATGATGTTATAGAGGAATGGTCACCTTGGTGGAAGGATAAAGTATTAGCCTCAGAACGTAGCTATGAGGATACTGCTAATAGGAGATTAAGAAGACATCTATGTTGTGATGGTACTATTGGCGATATATCATCATCATCATAATACTGTATATTGATGATATTATCAGGTACATTAACTCTAGTAGTAAAGGAAGATATCATTGTATACAGGATATGTTCTGTATTATATGGATATACTAAGCTTGTTAGACAGTAATATATTAAGAAGCACTACATGATGAGTAGTGCTGCTGTTGCTGTTGCTGGT